TGGGAAGCAGTCTGCTTAAACAGCCAAAGTTTGGACATACTCGAGGACGCTGATTGTCTCACTGAGTCCCAAAACGATGCTAAAATACCTGCCGACACACCTGTCCATAAAAGCACTGTTAGTCAAAACTGAGACTCGGTTCACAGCTAGAGACAAAAAGCTGAAAAAGATATTTAGAAACTTTTAGGGAGGAAGCAACGCTACTGACAACGAAATTCCCTTGAAAAACAATAATAACCTGAGAGAAGCAAAAAGGAAGCAGAGTGATCAAATACCAGGAAAGAGTTATTAAGGAAAAAGAATGGATGTGACAAAACACAATAGTAATGAGAACCGAGTTCTGGCAGTAATCAGGATGGATGAGTTTCAGATAAGCATCTAAAATCTCTATGGAAGAGATGACTAAATGATGAGTAAAAAAGATTTGTGTGTACCTTTTGCAGATGAGCTCTTGACCCAGGAACCCAACCGGACCACACTACTGAAGAAAAGAGAGACTAAGGACACAGTGGGTGCCAGGGCTTGTTTACTGTAGCGCACACACGAGTTGCACACTGACATCAGGACACCTAAAGAGAAACACAACTACTGATTACAATCGTATTAGAACAACTTCATAACAACATTTTAATCGTAAAAATAAGAAAAGCTAACCATTTAACACACAAATGAACAAAAAAGCTTTCAGTTCAGACAGACTCGAGAACCTCTCACCTGTCTTGTTCTTCCGACTTCTGTCTCTGCTATAAACACTGGTGACAGGTGAAAACGAGGCAGAAGAAGCATCACTGGAGAGCACCGCTGCTTGAGATGATGACGACCGTGTGATATACGAGTCCGTTTTCTGGGAATGTAACGAGCAGTCTCTGCAGATGTAACCATTAGCGAGGAACGTGTGGGACTCTGATATGCTGGCGTCACCATTTACTCCTGATGAACTGTGGCAGGAAATCTGCCCTGAGAGATGAGATGAGTGAAGCACACAATGAAGTCATTTAACCAGAAACATCAGAGGAAACTGATGAATTAATTACTATTTGGAACACCGATAAAATTGCAAGGAAATACACTACTTGATTATAATACAACACCAACAAAAACTGAGATATTTTGTTAATAAACCCAACGTATCTGCTTTACATACATATTTTGAGAGTTTATTTACTAAAACATGCTGGATAAGCAGCCAAATTATATTATCTGCTAATAAACTATACTTTCATTTGCTTCCATAACTTTTCATTGTCCTTGTTTTAAAATTAAACTCACTGAACCACTCTTTTTTCCCCTCAACATTTTCAGTATTCCCATGTAGATCTTCAGTTTCATTCTATTTTAATTAAAACTCGACTAAGAAGAAATGACTTTTGTTAGTTACTATAAACAAGTTGAGGACTGAAATTCAAAGCTGGATCACAATATTCCTTTAACAAAACTTTAAAAAAAAGGGAACCCTGAAAAAAACACAACTTTTGTGATTGCATGAACTGACCCCACTGTCCATCCACAGTAGCTGTATGGGTGGTGGTGGTGACTTTGCGTTGTTTCAGGTGAGACTGTTCATAAGCTGATGGGACCTGAGAGACTTCAGACGTTCTGATGCTTTCCTGAATACTTCTGCTGTTGTCAATCGGGGTACTAGCAGCAGAGAAGGACAGGGTTTGTCTTGGCGTGGCAAGCTGGCTCAGGGATAAAGACAGGGAGCTGGAGGTGGACTGCTGCCTTCTGCTTCTAGATGTCCTAGGAAGATACAGATAGGACACATGAGCTTTGGGAGGTTTAGAAGTGGAGGTATGTTGTCATGAATGCAACATACTAATGTTGTAATACTAATACTAATGCTGAATTGAAAACAGTAAATAACAAAATCATACAGCTCTCAAGCATACAAAAAAAATTAATTAATTAGTCTTTATTGAAAAGGCAGATGGCACTAAAGTCATTTTTGGATTGTCAAGTGTAGCACGACTGCTTCGCCCTAATTTGAATCTACATGGTCTTGGTGAGTTTCCATACAACTGAGTGCCGCCTCAACGTGGGCGGGATCATCATAGCAAGACAAGGCTGTTTGATGGCTCTTCTGATATCATTTTTTGGCGACACCCAACAATGGAGGGCATCTAAGTAATGGTATGGCTGTGCTCGGCCTATGGTTAGCCATACACAAGCTAAAAGTGATGCAGTGTTTCCCCTACCATTATTCAAAGAGGGCGCCCAACCCTGCCTCCCCACCCTCCACACAGCTCCGCTACTTCCAGACCGGAAGCAGAGATTTTAGAAGCTCTGTATACTCCAACCACGAGAACTGTGCACAATATAAACATAGCGCCATGCTAATACCCCAGGACAACCCACCCCGACAACTGCCAGCACTACTGTAGCGTTATGTTAACTACCCTAGGTAGCACTACGTTAACCAAACTAACAGTGGCATAAGTTTGTCATACTGATGTCAACCAAAACTTTATGTACGCACAAAATTTTCATCATATGCTGGCATGTTGTTGATAAGTTAGGCATAGGTTCCAGGTATGTGACAGGTAAGTTATGCACAAGTTCACACACGTTACATGTGCATGTTACACTCATAAGTTGACATACTGTATGTCTGAAACCAGCTGAGCAATTGTGAAGTGTTCAAGTAACTTATTTCTAACCTATGAGCAACTTAATTTTAACATATCTGTAATTTACACCAGACGTTTCCACAATATATTGTAATATCTGAGCTTTAAAAGGGTAATGTTCTGGGTTCTGAGGGGAGAGGAGGTTGGGGTGTAGGTGTGTGGGGCAGACAAAGGAGGAGCAATGCGAAGACATAGAGGAGAGTGAGGGAGCATCAAGTGTTAATTATTTTGGTTAAAATTGTGTCCAGTGTGAGTTGCAGCTCTGACAGCAGTTTGTGTTTTGTTCTTGTTACATTAGTAATGGCTCTGACAGTGCACAGTTGGCTCTGGGTCACGTTCTTTGCACATTGAAGGGCATTAGAGTATATTGAAATATTCAATATAGCTGATGACCCTGGAACTTACTGAATGAGTTTATAAATTACAGCTAGCTTATTTGCCATTGTTTTGGAGTTCAGTTATAAATAGAGTGCAAATGATTGGCAACTCATCACCCCTGATGGATTCATGAGGGCAGAGGTTCACAACTATCATCACAAAGGATCCTGTCGCAACCTTCTTTATCGCAGCTTTTTTTGTTTGTTTTCTTCCATGGCATATTGATCAGTGTAAAATTAATGACTGGGGGGTGCAGAGTGCAGAGAGCTGCCCATATACATCTAATGTCACATTTATAATGTGGCTGCACAGAAGTCTGTTGGAGTCAGTCTCCCCACCATCACAGACATCTACACCTCCAGATGCAGGAAGAGGGCCACCTGCATCATGAAGGACCCCACTCACCCAGCACACACACTTTTTGTCCCACTCCTCTCAGGAAGGAGGTTGAGGAGCATTAAGTGTAGAACCACTAGACTGAGGAACAGCTTCTACCCTGAGGCTGTTAGACTCATTAATCTCTAACCAGAATAATCACTGTGAAAAAAATCACATCATGTTGCTGCTGATCTGTTTCAATGTTGATGTGTTCATGCGTGCTCATCTGCTCACACAGACTCATGTTCATGTTTGTGCTGATGTTCGACGTAATGTTTTTATGTTATGAGTGCTCAGTGTATATTTTGTTGATGTTTTTCTTAGTTCATATGTTAGAGGTTATTACAATTTTTCTTTTATATTTTATTGTTGGATGTAACTGGGATCCTGTGTACATAATTTCGCTCCACCACATGTACCACATGAGGTGTGAATGACAATAAAGAAACTCTGACTCTGATAATCGCAATATGCGTATACATAATTTGAACAAGTCCGGTGCAAGTTACACTAACGTTGCAAATAAGCTCTGATTATTTTTCAGTTTACACCTAACTTAAGTGACTTACACCAACATGTTCATCTTTATTTTTTCATTTGCAGGAATACGCTGATGCTACACGTGACACTTCACTGTGTGACAGGGCCTTAAGCCCATTTAATAATGCCCCCACCATGATGAACAACAACTTGCTGCATATTGTCTACAGCTACATGCATTTAACATAGCCTTGAATGTGTAGATATTATTCTTTGACAAAGGCTGGGTCTAGCACCTTCTCAGTCCAAAAAGGACTAAAACAACACATGACAAACTAAATCATGAAATGATGGTTTTCCCCAACATCATATAGCCCAAACTCCTCTTATTTGAGCTTCTACTTTAAGCTAATTTAATCAACTGTGTTCCTCTTAGCTCCTGAATGTGCTCCTTCCTTATCTTAGTAGCCTTCCAATTCTTAAAGGACTGAGTATGTGAGGATTCAATGCAAAAAGGAAGAAAAACCTGAAAAATCAGAGCTTGATCAGTTTATGAACTTTGTAAGTATAGATATCATGGGAGCTCTGATAAATCTGTTTGACTCCATTAGCAGCCACTGAAAAAAAAAACCGGTGTGAGATGAAGAGAAAGTGATTATAGATCAACTCACCGTGTCTCCCTCTTGGTGCTGCTGTAGCTGCTGCTGTGGCTCTGGGAGTGATCTGCCAAGCTTTCACCGCCATAATGACTGGCACCGCTCTGCAGACGCAGACTTCGCCGTGACATTCTGGGCGACTCGTAAACAGGAGCGATCTGGTGCTCCTTCTCAAACTCTAATGCTGCAGTGGAGTAGCTGGAACTAAGGAAAGAGGGAGAACAAAAGAACAGAAAGTGCAAAAAAAAAGTTAAACACTAAAAACAACAACATGAGGTACAGCATGACAATTAAGAGGAAATGCATTGAAATGCATTCAAAGACAAACATGAAGTGCATTAAGTCTTAACCAAAAATCATTACTAAAAGAGGCATATCCCACACTTCTATTCCTGGTTCCTCATCGTCAACAAGTTAAGTCCATGGAGGTCTTGTTTTCTTCTTCAAATGAAAACACGCAGTTGCTTTTTTTTTTTTTGTATAGCTGTGACACTGCTGTTCCCTGCACTGGGCAGCGTTCCTAACAGGAAATGACTCACTCACATGAGAGAGAAAAGACCAGAGAACAGGCACAGTTTGTTTCTGAGAGTAAAACTGAATAAATATAACAAGTAAACTGCCTCAAGTATGCAAGTAAAATGGATAAAAATAGTGCTACACTCACTGAAATTTCAAACCAAAGTTAAGTGGAAACACACCATGTACATTTTGTGCCATGCTTTGCTTGGACGCACAACGCCACACCCACCTGGCAGAGACACACTTGACTAACTGGCAACACAGAAGCAACATTTCTTCATGAGTTACTACAGTTTCTCTTAACTGTTCTGGGTAAAAAATAAAACCCCTAATGTATCCCACTATAACAGCAGATTAAATTTCAAACAAGCATTGCTTACAACTGTTGTAACAAAAAATTGTCTCGGTCTGCATTCAGACAGAGAGTGGGCACTACAGTTATATTTTGTGAGAATATAGAAAATGAACATACACCTGAAATGAAGGGACCATAGCTGTGTACACAAATGCTATTGGTTTTATAGTACAAGGACAGTTTTGCATGATGGCAAAATCTTGCACACAAACATGTTACTGTAGCTTACTAGCTGAGCTGTAGAGTGAATATATGAATGTGTCACATGGGTCTGTGTCTCTAAAAGTCGAGGATTACGCAGTCCTTGTGAGAGCCAATTATGTGATTTTGTCCTGAGTCTACCTCCTGCCTGCTGAACCAACTGGCTCACATGAAAACAGAACTGGTGCAGCTTCTTTCCTCTCCGACTGATCTGAAATTCCCCTTCTGCAAAGCTTTATCAACAAATACTGATACAGACTTAGAGTTTGTCTGAGTTGTAGAGAGAACCACAAATGACCTAAACCAAACAAAATAAATAAATAACTGTAAACTGTTCAATCTTTTAACTGTACTGGGGGAAAAACAGCAGAGTCGGTGGCAACATGATCAAATTTTGACATTGCCGCAGCCCATTTTGCAAAAATGTGAAATGCAAATATTAAAAGAGCGTTTTAGAGCAGAGAGAGAGAACTAGCTTTTAAATGTTATCTCACACATCTTAATCCCACAGCAGGGCTGAATGAGTCCAAGAGCAGATAATCCAGTCTGTCTGATCTGCAGTGAAAATGCATGATGTACATTTTCTAGATGCATCATGAGCTAAAACAACCTTGTTCATGTGTTTATAAAACCTCACATTTCAGTGGTAACAGCGCCGTCTGAGGTGCTGAGACAACATTGGAGGGCAGGGCAGAATAAACAAATATATCTGTCTGTGTCGCATGCAGCCACACACAAACTTTAATACAAACTTCTGCTCTACTTAGGAAACAAGAACTTTTTGTTTTTACTGCTCAACACATCCTTTAAGTTTCTCAGAATAAAACCTGTGTCCTCTGAAATGATAATCACCACATTTTTAATAGATTAAAACACTGTTAACAATATAGCTAATGTTATAATCTCAGTCCCTCCTTTTTAAAGTTATAAACAATCTTTATTTAGTTTACAAACTCTTCATTTGATGAGGGTATCCATTCCAAACTGAGCTGTGTCACTCTTCCCCCAGGCGGCTCTCACAGCCCACATTAAATGACATAAATAGAAATGCACACTCTCCTTTCAGAGCCGAGCACATAAGACACGTGAAGACCGAGATAAACACAGCAGAAAGAAAGATCAATCTTATTTATGCAACACCAAATAATAAGGGTTGATTTCTCACACGTTTTTAATTAATTAGCAGATACCATGATGCACGACAACAAACAATGACCAAGCAGCGTGTTTTCAATTAAAAATGTGTTACAACACATTAAAAACAAATTAAAAACTTGAATAAATATATTCAATTGGGTTTTATTACAAAGTCCTTAAAACAACAAAAGCTATAAAATATCTAGGTGAACAAGTGATTATATTTATTCCTCACATTCTATGACGGCTGTTTCAGTACAAGCTGAAATATTTTGAGCAGTTTTAAGTAATATTTGACAAAGTATTCGGTGAGAAAATAAAAGGCTAATTGAATTTATTCTACCTCTATGACAACTGCAACATCCTCAAATCTTCCATTCAGTTTTTCTACCCAGTGACTAAATCTTAATTGATCTAATCAACGTAATCAATGTGTTCACATGACTGAGGAGAATCTGTCAGTGAAGTAAAACAAGCTTCTTATGAGGAACATCTTTTCACCAGCTCAAGATAATCGTAATGTGAAAAAAGTAAGAATTTAAATTTTTCACAGTTGCCATAAATATTTAAACTAGCGTAACCATTTTTTTTTTTAAACAAAAAGTGAACCAATTATACAAAAACGCTGATTACAGTCAGAGCCAAACTGAAGTTTACTTTCGAGTAATAATAATATTTGCTCTCTGATTTCCCCGTTTAAAAGATGTGATATTTCTGTCACCACTGATACATTTTCATGTTGCTTCTGCACATGCAAACCAAAGCAAGATTATCCTTCTTGAATAATTTCTGGAAAGACTGTGACTTTTATTGTGTAGGACTAAAATACAGTACTGTAGATTTATACAAATATAGAAAACAAATCTATTGCATCCTGCAAAAAACTAACTCTACTGAAAAAAAACTTACAAAGTATGATGGATCTACTAAGCCTGTAGTGATCAACTCTATTATTGTAAGCTTACTACTGGTTTTGTATGGAAAAAATAACTCAAATTTCAGAAATTATAGGTTTTGTTTAAAACATCTATGAACATATTGACAAAACCATACAAGAAAAAAAATTTCTGCTGATAACTCCTAACACTTTGCCATTTGTTAGTCTACAGCAGTAATCTGTCATACACACACTATAAACTGGCTACCATTTGTGAGACTCACACATATTTTACATCGAGATTATAGGAACCACGTGGGTTGTAAATTTCAGCGTCAAAACCAAACATGTGGTTACAAAAGTGTTTTCTAAAGGTTGCCAGAAAGTCTTTAACTTCTCATGCAAACAAAAACACCACAGGATAATGCTTCCAGATGGGACTTGGAGAAAGAGCAAAACTTGTTACTTGACAAAACAACTAAGATAACTAAATGACGTCTAAACTTCTGCACAAGCATGTGCAACAAATAAAATAAAAACATGAGATTAGGTACTAGCATATAAATTAAATATAAGTGAGTACATTGTCTTTTTTTTACCTCAGCTGTAACATCTTAGGAATTTTGCAAGCTCACACATGGTTAGATCAGTGCCAACAGTAAAACATTTCAGGGGGATGAGATGTTGTAATTCAGCTAAGACGATGCAACAAGGGCTCTGAAAATGCTTGTTTGCTTTTTCACATTCAGCCTCTGAAAAATCTGTGTGGAAAAAGGACAGAGCACAACACCCACTTCCTTCCTGTTTCCCCACAGAGTCCCAAGTGGACAAAGTCTTGTTTTTTCTTTCTCTAAAATACTAAGGCCTATACTAAGAAGTTATATTGAACAGTCTAACAAAGTTAAGTCTGGTCCTCTGGACCAGTCTTAACTTTTTTTTTTTTTGCTACCTGGATTACTGAGCATGCATCAGGATATATTGAACAGTGACTTATAGACCAAGCATAGAGTCTTAAAATTTATTTCCAACCATCTCTGGGAGAGAAAGATTAGGACCGTTTCCGGATAGCCTTGTTTTCCCTCCCACTGACAGCACTTCCTTTCCGCTGCGCTCTATAAGTAGCGTAGTACAGTCACCACAATAAAGCACTACAGCATGTTGCTGTGGTTATTATGGAGACCACTAACAACTGCTCTCTAGCTCAGAAAAAACTGACCAGGATCCAAACATGGACAAATGAGTTAAAAAGATGTGACAAAAGAAAACAAGCCAGATGAACCTGAAACACACCACATGTCATCTTTGATGCATGACAGGAGACGGGTAAAATGTTTCTTTTTAGGTCAGCTTCAAATGTAACAAAGACGTGAATTTGTCAGAAGTTAAATGTAAGAACTGAAGCAAAGGGTGCCATCTCCAAAATCCAGCTGCTGTCATGTGCCTGCCAACTGGCCAGCAGTGCACATACTGAAGCATGCTTGAAGCACGTGTGAAAACAACTGACAGGAGGGTGTGCAACAGCTGTCCAACAGACACACAACAGACTCAACTGTAGCTCACAAATACACAACTTTAACACTTCAAACTGTATTTTATACACTTACTCTTGTAGGACTAGGCCTGTCACAATAACAAATTTTGCTGGGCGATTGTCTCAGAAATTATTGTGATAAACGATAATATTGTTTGAAATTTGACATTAGTAATTATTTTCAAATTTATGAAGAAATGTTGATTTCTTTTGCGTGTAGTACCTTTTATTGACCACCGGATGACAGTATAAGACTGTTTGAACTGAAGGATGGGTAGTGCGGGAGTGAGCAGCGTGTCTTTTTAAGAAAAATGGGAAGAAGGCCCCTTGACGTGACAAGGGCAGTCTCTCCTTCCTTTCTTTGGGTTCTCAAAATGGCAGACGCTCAGTGTGGTCTGAGTTCTTTAGCGTAGCATTTTTCACATAAAGCTTTAAAAAAAAAAAAAAAAAAAAAGTTCTCAGCCTCTTTTTGCAGAGAAAAACAACTTTTTACCCAAAGGCACAAATTTCAACTGTGAATTTTGGAGCTTCGACAAGACTGAGTCCCCCCCCCCCCCCCCCCCCCCCCCCCCCCCCAGATCGGC